CCCCAAAACCCCAAAACCCCAAAACCCCAAAACCCCAAAACCCCAGTAAGCGGACTGAAGATTGAAAATTTTTTAGAATAAAATGAAGGGATTTTTAAACCAGTTCTTCAGCTGGTTGAGGGGCTTTGGAGTCTGAAGAAGCACTTGAGTCTGATTTTGAGGTGTCTTCGATAGACTGTACTGACAACGATCTTTCAGGTTCATGCTCAGTACTATTAGACTCTGATGGAAATTCGTTCGGAGAACTTCCTTTTTCAAGATCGGAAGGAATTTTTGTTCTTTCAGACTTGGCATTGAAATTACGTAGATTAACAAGCTGGACTTTATTATTTATATTTTTAATGATATTATGAGCGAAGGTTTCTTTGTTATTTTTTGCTTTTAATGCTTCTTTTGCTTCAATGTTTCTTATCTGATTCATTTCTTCTCGCTTGAATTTTCCGTCAAGTTCCTTGCGGTTGACTTGAGATATTTCTTTTGGTTGAGCTGGAGATGATGGAGCTTTTGTCTTCTTCCTTTTTCATTTTCATCTTAGATTTTTGCAAAGAGAAGACACAACTTGGCACCATCAACAACAAAGACATTCACAGAATGTTTTAATGCATTCCTGCATAAAAATTCATCAGAGGACGATGCCTACAATAGCAAGTATGACAAACAGAATGCCGAAAATAATGATGAGAGGTAGAAGAACTCATTTAAATGTACTACCTTTTCAAGATTCTCCGCTTCCATTGTACGTAGAAGAACTTGATCCATAACTTGAGCTGCTTCTTGAAGAACTTCTGCTTGAACTTCTGCTCGAGCTTCTGCTTGAGCTTCTACTACTGCTAGAGCTTCTCAAGTCTCTGGCAATAGCTTCGCTGAGCAAGAGGAGAAGGATGATTGCTAATACTGTTTTTGTATATTTCATTAATTAGTTTTAATTATATCGTTCCACATCTTAAATACTTCACGGGGTTTTGGGGTTTTGGGGTTTTGGGGTTTTGGGGTTTTGGGG